CATATGTCCAAAACCAATTGGACATATGTCCAAAACTAAATGTGGCGCAGTTTTTTGTCCAATTTCCCAACACTGCCCTAATGTGTGATCGTACTGGTCCGGCGCGGCACTGCGTGCTGCGCAGCCATCTTATTTGATAAGTCGGTATTGGTTCGGAAGGCCGGAAAAAGATCATCATCACGTGATCTCAACATTGACTAGTCTAGTAGATCTACAAATGATAAAGATCATCTGAAATTATAGCCAATAGAAAGATCTTAAGTCATGAGATGATCTTCATTGTTTTTGTTTACATTAATACAAAAATTTACAAAAAATGTACATTGATCTTTTCGATGCGCTTAACATTAATACGTATTATTACAAAAATGTACATTGTTTTTGTTTTGATCTTTTCGATGCGTTTAACATTAATACGTATTATTACAAACATGTACATTTTTACTGACCTTTTCACGTTTAAATAGTAAGGACGCCACTGAACCAAGTTATTTGGATTTCTCAAATATTGTAAAAGTTGGCTTGATAAGTTGAAAGAATACGAAGGTATAATTTGGAAACTGAATACATTATATTCGTTGAATTTTTGATAGCACCCCATCGACTATTTCTGGTGCCAGTAGAGAGAGCGGAAGAAGATTTTTGATTTCCTTTTGTTTTTGAGGCCTACCGGTTTTAAAGAAAAAATCAGTTAATCCCCCCTTTTGACGATTCAAGCGGCTTAATAGCGGTCATGTTCATCTCTTGGTCGGATTAAGGGGCCTGATAACGGTGTTGTACTGCATGCTAACATCGTGTTCCTCTTATAGTGGAATATGCATTCGTGTCCCTCTTGGTCGGATTAAGGGGCCTGATAGCGGTATGCTAACATTCGTGTCCCCCCTTGGCGGTTCAAGGGGCTCTTATAGCGATATGTGCACCCGTGTTTCCCTCTTGGTTGGATAAAGGGACTCTTATAGCGGTGTTGTGCTGCATAATGACATCTTGTGTTCCCCCCTTTGGCGATTCAAGTGGCTTTTATAGCGATATGTGCATCCCGTGTTCTCCTCTTGGTCAGATTAAGGGCCTAATGGTGGGGTGTTGTGCTAGATTATAATTCAACGAATTGTAGTGTTGTCTTTTTTCGGGTTGTATTAACTTTTTAGATAAATTAATATTTCTAATTATAAATTTTAGGATATTCAAAACATACAAGCTCCTAATAATAGCGATGTCGTCTGTGAACAAAGTTATAGTAGTGAAAAACAGGTGTGTACATATTCCACGAACGTTCTAGAATCCGAGCTTAATAAATTGAGTCTCGAAAGGTTTATTAAATTTAATGTCGAATTCCAAAGACAAACTCAAAAGAACAATTCAAAGTCGAATTCACAAGACGATTCACAAATGAATATTCAGATAAGTATTTACTTTTATTTAATCGAAAGTTGAATGAATTGTTTAACGAATTATTTTTTCAAAGATAGAATAATGATTAATTACTTGGAACAGTTGGTCTTTGAATACATTTTTAATTCTAGGAACGTTTACACTCTGGAAGCTATATTTATACGACCATTATAACGTTTATGCACCTAACTCTAAGTTATTTCTTGTGATTATACAAATATGTAATTGAATAGTTGTGTATACTCTCCCACTGTCACGTTTACACTACTTGAGTAATGTTTAAAAGAAATTAATAAATTTATCAAAATTGGGCATTGCTACCAAAATGGATGGTGAATTACGAAGAAATTTGTACATGCGAATACTTTAAAGAAAAATTAAAGATTTATATACAAAAATATAGAAAATAAAATTTTAATTTGTTACAACATACATTGGACCATCAATACGGAACGATGTATAAATGCGATTCGAATAGCCCCTTAATGATTTATGTAACAAAGTATTTAATTGTCAACATTTGATGTGTTTAGTCGGATTGATGAGCGGATTAGTTAGAAAAGGTTAGATCGTAAGATTCCCAGGAGAAGAATATTTAATTGATGAAAAGATCATGACTGACGAATGACGATCCCTATGACGAATGTCGAAACCTATAACAAATGATGAACCTATGTTGGAACCTCGTCCTGGTAGATCAGTTTGAAAACTGATCTACTTGTGGCCGAATGATTTATAAATTTGGCAGAATTAAAAGTAGATCAACA